CTGTGTTCAGTGAAAGTGGACTGCTGTTGACCTCAACCAGTAAGGTCATCAGGAGGTGGAAGGAATACTTCTTGTACCTTCTCAATCTCACCAGCACGTCTTCCATGGAGGAAGCTGAGTCTGGGGACTTTGTGGTTGGTCTGTCCATAACCGTGGCTGAGGTCGCTGAGGTAGTTAAAAAGCTCCAAGGCAGCAGGGCTCCGGGAGTGGATGAGATTCACCCTGATTTCCTAAAGGCTCTGGATGTTGTGGGGCTGTCTTGGTTGACACAACTTTGCAACATCTCGTGGACATAGGGGGCAGTGCCGCTGGACTGGCAGACTGGGTGGTGGTTCCCGTCTTCAAAAAGGGGGACCGGAGGGTGTGCTCCAATTACTGGGGCATTACTCTCCTCAGCCTCCCTGGTCAGGTCTCTTCAGGAGTACTAGAGAAATGCGTCCAATTGTTGGTCGAGCCTCAGACCCAGGAGGAACAATGCAGGTTCCGTCCTGGCTGTGGAACACTGGATCAGTTCTTTACCCTCACTAGGTTCCTCAAAGAGTAATGGGAGTTTGCCCATCCAGTCTACATGTGTTTTGTGGACTTGGAGAAGGTATTCGACCATGTTCCTCGGGGTACACTGTGGGGGGTGCTCCATGAGTATGGGATTGGGGGCCCGTTGTTATGGGCTGTTCGGTCCCTATACAAACAGTGTAAGACTTTGGTTCACATTGCCAGTAGTAAGTCGGACCCCTTCAGGGTTGGAGTTGAACTCCGCCAGGGCTGCTCGTTGTCACAGATTCTGTTCATAACTTTTTGCCAGTTCGGTGGCCTCAGGATTCCATCTCTGCTCTTTGCAGATGATGTGGTCCTGTTGGCGTCATCGTGCCATGATCTTCAGCTTTCACTCGAGCAGTTCGCAGCCGAGTGTTAAGCGGCTGGGATGAGAATCAGCACCTCCAAATCTGAGGCCATGGTCCTCAACCGGAAAAGGGTGGATTGCTCTCTTTGGGTCGAGGGTGAGTTTCTGCCTCAAGTGGAGGAGTTCAAGTATCTCGGGGTTTTGTTCACGAGTGACGGAAGAATGGAACATGAGATTGACAGATGGATTGGTGCAGCATCTGCAGTATTGCAGACTCTGTGCCAGTCTGTTGTGGTGAAGAGAGAGCTGAGCTGTAAGGCAAAGCTCTCTGTTTACCAGTCGGTTTACTTTCCTACCCTCACCTATGGTCATGAGCTCTGGGTAGTGACTAAAATAATGAGATTGTGGATACAGGCGCTTGAAATGAGTTTCATCCACAGGGTAACTGGACTCTCTCTTAGAGATAGGGTGAGAAGTTCAGTTATCCAGGAGAGACTCAGAGAAGAACCGCTACTCCTCCACGTCGAGAGGAGCCAGTTGAGGTGGTTCGGGCATCTGGTAAGGATGCCCCCTGGTCGCCTCCCTAGCTTCAGGCATGTCCGACTGTGAGGAGACCCCGGGGAAGGCCCAGGACACGCTGGACATACTATGTCTCTCAGATGGCCTGGGAAAACCTTGGAATCCTCCCAGAAGAGCTGGAAGAGGTGGCTGTGGAAAGAGATGTCTGGGCCTCCCTGTTCAAGCTGCAGCCCCCCCGACCTGACTTCGGAATAAGCAGAAGATAATGGATGGATGATTTTTGTGAAGTACGTTTTAGATTGTCATGGAGATCTTTTGAATTTCTCATCCTTTATTGAAAAACATAATCTTAGTTGTTCTAAAAATTTTAAGAAGGTATACAAAGTGCTTCCTTTAGCATTGATTCAATCAATGAGAAATGTCGTTGTATACCCAAAGGTGACTGTTTCGATGCCCACATTAAAGTTGTATGACTGTAACTTAGTTGAGCTCAAGTGCAACAAGATAATTAATGAAGGCATTATTTTTTTTTACTATGAATAGAGAATCTTTCAAAAAAACTTCCCAATACAAAATATGAAACCCTAATGATTTTTGCTCATTCCATATTTGTCAAATGGCCCATACATTCTGAAGTGAAGGAGACTCATTTTAAAATATATATCTTAGCCGTGTTACTTGAAAGAAGATTTGAGTTTGGTGTTGATTTGTGTGCCTTTTGTATGTCAGACCATGAATCTCTGGAGCATTTTTTTTCATGTCAATATTCACAAATTTTTGGACGGAAATTAGAAACTGGATTAATCTCAGACTTAACATTCCTTTTTTTGATGCTGATGCCATTTTATTTTATGTGGATAACCTAAGCTCAGCTTTCTCTGATGCCATAAATGCATACTTCCAGTATACTGTAGTAAGTGGAGCCCTCCTTCCCCTGTTTCATGAATGAATTTAAATCATAGTATTCTTCATTAAATAGATAAAAAACTGGAAAACTGTTATAATCATCTCACAACAGATCTCTGAAAGCTTATTGTCTTAGGTTTCTCATTATATGGTTTGCTCCTTTGTTCTCTATTTATTTTATTTTATTTTTTTAATCAATATTTTACACCCCATAACTTGTAAGATGTAGTTATTGTAATGCTATGACTGTCAATACCAGTTTTAGCCACTAGGTGTCAGTATTGTTCTTAGTCATATGGTGAAGCTAGGAT